CCACGTGGAGAACAGAAGTCAAGGAATATAACAAAGATGGGAAACAGAAGCTTGCAGCAATGACAGAAAACATCACATTTCTCTAGGCTCTCTCCAGTGACCTCATTATACCTACAAATATGCAAGACTTGTGATGCACGCTTATCTCTTTCACTCAATGCATGATCAAATAAAGTTTTAAAGAGGACCAATCCGGATTGATAAAATAAGATGGAATTGTATTTATCCCCTTGGGGAAATTATGAGAAAAAAAGTCAAATTCTGGGGAAAATGTCAACATCTGGGGAGAATGTCCAATTATGAGAAGAAGTCAAATTCTGGGGAAAAAGTCAAAATCAGAGTAAAGTCAATTCATGAGAAAAAAAGTGAAATTATGAAAAAAAAGTGAAATGAGAAAAAAGTGAAATGAGAAAAAAGTCCAAATCAGAGAAAAAGTCAAAATTATGAGAAAACAATTTCATTTTAGTAAAAAAGTATGAGAAAAAGTCAAATTCTAGGAAAAAATACAAATTCTAGGGAAAAAGTCAAAATCTGAGAAAAAAGTCATTTTTTTTGAAAAAAAGTCATTTTTTTTGAAAAAAAGTCAAATTATGAGAAAAAATGTCAAATTATGAGAAAAAAGGCAATTCATGAGAAAAGTCAAATTCTAGGGAAAAAGTCAAATCCTAGGAAAAAAGTCAAAATATGAGAAAAATGTCAACATCTGGGGAGAATGTCCAATTATGAGAAGAAGTCAAATTATGGGGAAAAAGTCAAAATCAGAGTAAAGTCAATTCATGAGAAAAAAAGAGAAATTATGAAAAAAAAGTGAAATGAGAAAAAAGTCAAAATCAGAGAAAAAGTCAAAATTATGAGAAAACAATTTCATTTTAGTAAAAAAGTATGAGAAAAAGTCAAATTCTAGGAAAAAATACAAATTCTAGGGAAAAAGTCATTTTTTTTAGAAAAAAAGTCATTTTTTTTGAAAAAAAGTTAATTTTTTTGAAAAAAAGGCAATTTTTTTGAAAAAAAGTCAATTTTTTTGAAAAAAAGTCAATTTTTTTGAAAAAAAGTCAATTTTTTTGAAAAAAAGTCAAATTATGAGAAAAAATGTCAAATTATGAGAAAAAAGGCAATTCATGAGAAAAAGTCAAATTCTAGGGAAAAAGTCAAAATCAGAGAAAAGTCAAAATATGAGAATAAAAGTCAAGGAATATAACAAAGATGGGTAATTCAGGCGTTTATAGAAGCAACAGGGTCAGAGTTAAAAACAGGATTCACACACAAGGTAAAAATAAAGACAAAATACAATAAACAATTTAAATAATAATACAAAATGTTATTAAAATAAAGTGATAAAGTGATAAAGTGATAAAGTGATAAAGTGATAAAGTAATAAAGTGATAAAGTGATAAAGTAAAAAGTAACTGTTGAAAGAAGAGACAGCATTTGAATGAGCAAATTCAGGATTGGCTCCTATTTCACCCAGCTGTTAACTAAAGATGTGTTTGACAGTCAGAAATGAGTGTGTGAGTGTGTGAGTGTGTGTGTGTGAGTGTGTGTGTGTGTGTGTGTGTGTGTGTGTGTGAGTGTGTGAGTGTGTGAGTGTGTGAGTGTGTGAGTGTGTGAGTGTGAAGACGCCCTGATGCATAGAACATAAATTGTATTGACCAAGCGGTCACTTTTAATGTACCGAGGTTAAATGCCTGGAGCCTGAGCGAAGTGACACCAATCAATGATGGGACTAAACACGGATAAGACTGCCACTGCTCCATAAACACACACACACACACACACACACACACACACACACACACACACACACACACACACACACACACACACACACACACACACACACACACACACACACACTGAAGGACACGAGTACAGCCACATATATTATACACTGTACTGCGTTGACATCCAGCATGGTTAACATCGTTAAAGCAGAATAGGATAGTTTGTCATCCAAGTGTTTGTGTTTTAGTGATTGTAAAGACAAATGACCCGTCTGCGTATTATGTCATTTGCAGCCACTTTCTCATTCATCCTTTTGACCGTTAAAGCAGACGGGTCAGCGTGGGGCTACAGCGGAAACAATACAAGTGAATGCTGGACGAAAGGCAGATTTGTTAAACTTTTCCCGTTATGTCTGTCAATCTGTATTTCTATAATAGTGTCAAGTTAAGAGTGTTTTTGTATTGTGTAAATTAATAATGTAAATCATACAGGTGGCATTAGATTGGAAATGTATAGTAATGCTGGAATGAGTAGACCCTCCAGAAAAACGCGATTATGCGATCGCATAATTTACCGCATAATCAGCAAAATTGCGCATATTTTTAAAAGGCCGCATATTTCTTAAAAGGTCGCATAATCCCCGCATTTTTCCACACAAAATTGAGGAAAAAAAAAGTTAACGTGAAGTAGTGATGTCATCAGCTCGCGCAGGTAAACAACACCGTAGAGTGAATGTGTGGAACTCACACGAGAGAGAAAAGCAACAAGATCAGCGCCATATAGACTATTATATAGCCTACTATTATACTATTATTATTATATACTATTATAATTATACTATTATACGGCTCTGACCAAGATGAACAAATCGAATCCATCCCATTTGCCTACGAACATTTCTGCTAAAGACCGGGCAAAGCAGTACGCAGATGTCTTGCACGAAAGTGGGGGGAAACTATTCTGCACCCCGTGCAACTGTGTGTTGGAACATACAAGATTGAAGCTGGTCAGATAACGAACGGGTAAATGAAAACAGAATGAGGCGGAGGTGTGTGTGTGTGTGTGTGTGTGTGTGTGTGTGTGTGTGTGTGTGTGTGTGTGTGTGTATCATAGGAACTCTTTAAAAGGGCTTCCTTTCATTCAGTAGTAGCCTAGTAACAGGGTGTGGGAGAAGAATCACTTTTTTTCCGCCTCCCGCATATTTCGCAACTTTTCGCATATTTTGCATATTTCCGCATATTTCGCAACTTCTCCGCATATTTCGCATAAAAACCCCGCATGTTTAATCGCATAATCAAGGATTTTAGCCCGCATAATCAAGGATTTTAGCCCGCATAATCAAGGATTTTAGCCCGCATAATCAAGGATTTTAGCCCGCGTTTTTCTGGAGGGTCTAAATGAGTCCTAAAACCAAGGAAATTAGTCAACATTTTGAGTAAAAAGTCGTAAAAAAAGTCAGATTATGAGAAGATTTGACTAATTATGAGAAAAAAGGTCAAATTCTAGGAAAAAAGTCAAAATTATGAGAAAAAGTCAAAATCAGAGAAAAAATTCAAATTCCGAGAAAATTTCAAATTATGAGAAAAAAGTCAAATCCTAGGAAAAAAGTCACAATATGAGAAAAATGTCTAATTCTTAGAAAATAGTCAAATAATGAGAAAAAAGTCAAATTATGAGAAAAAACGTCAATTTATGAGAAAATGTTTGTGGGCCTCAAGAAGGACGAAAAAGTTCATTTACTTCACGAGTTTTTCAAAATCTTTTTGTGAGAAATATTAATCACGGAGAATACTTTTCTTCTGACTGTAATACAGTCCCAAAACTTTAAGGAAGTTTTACAGTAAATGTATTTTGTTCTGAATAGTTTACCAAAGTATTGTACCGTGACAGAAGCTAACTTTCTTCAGCTTTAAAGTCCTCACTCATCTTCCACCTCAACCTCTAAAACCTTTACCTCACACACCTCTAAAGAAAGAGCCTCTGCACATCGGGCATACATCTTGTGCTGCAGGATCCTCTCATTTGAAGCAGTTGTGAGGGATAGAGGAGGCTTTAATGTGCAGCTCTCCCAATGCAGTATTGAACAGCGATATTGCATAATAGATACAGGCTGGAGGGGGAGTGGAGTCTGAGACCACAATGCACCTCGGTCGGGTAATGATGGCTGCGTTATGTCACACACTGGAGGATGCACAGAGATATTGTGTGAGTCCAAAGGGACGCAATTAAAAAGATCAATCAGTACGCAGAGTGGGATCGTTAAACAGGAAACAAAAGCTCAGACAGACGCTGGAGTTTCAGAGCGGTGGAACTGAAAGTTTTCTGAGAGCAAACTGTTGTTGTAGTTTCTGCAGAATGTCCGTTAAGGATTAAGAAGTTGGGGCTAATTAAAAATAATGAGCTGCATGTGTTGTCTTTGTTATCATTAACGTCCAGCAGTGATTAACACAATGCATGTCATTTCTCCAGCAACTAAATATAGACTGATTTACGGTTTGTTGTTTCATAAATGGCTTATTTAGTCAATTATGTTTCCTACACCATTAGATAAAATAAACCAGCATGACTTTTTTGACTGTATTCTATGTATAACTTGTACAACTTGTTTTTACTCCTAGACAACTTTCTTAATAAGTTTAAAGGTTTGCACAGAAAACCAAAACAACACAATTCACTACACCTGATGAATACATGTTTGTGGTTTGTATGTGACATAAGCTCCATACAATCTGAAAAGTCTGATAAAATTGGCGACTGTCTCAAACATTAAGACATGTTAAAAGGTCACTGGTAAATCTTTGTTTTCTCTCATCTCCGTTTGCATAACACCAGCATAATAATCAGACCTTATAATTCATAATTACCCCCTAAAAACAAATATAGACACAGTCATATCATTTGCTGATATCACCAATGTTTTTTGGAATAATTGGTCTTTCTCTAATTTACGATAACAAAGGAAAACTTTGCAAAGCGTAGATTAAACTGCTGTCTGGAATAAAGTCTAAAGTTATCCTCATTAAGGAAACTTTATCAGACTGCACAGGTCAGCGAGAACACTTTCACAACCAGAAGAGCCCCGAGCAGACTTTCACTATTGAGCCATTTGCATAAGTGAGGACTTACACATGACACTGCCCTGTGGTTAAGACAATTAATAGATTCTTTCTCTGCTAACCTTTCACCAAATGTCAGGATTGGGCCGGTAGCTTTTCCGATGTCCTGCAGACAAACACTTCCGAAAGAAACCCAACCAAAAACAAAACCTTCTTGGCGGG